TATTTAATTTATTTACTTATTTATTTATTTTATTTAATATAATTAATTAATTTATTATTTTTATTTATTTAAATATTTATTTAGTTTATTTATTTATTTGCTTATTTATTGTAGCTGCTTTGTATCTTCATCCCTCTATGCTTTCTTGTCTTACGTATAACAACCCCAGCAGCAGCACGAGAAGCAGCAGCAGCAGCAACTGCAGCAGCAGCAACTGCAGCAGCAGCAGCAGCAGCAACAGTAGCACCATCATTAGTATAAATTGTTGTCTTAATATTTTTTTTTTCTGTTTGTTTGTGTTGGTCTATTAAAGGCCTTTCTTTGCGTTTACTGCTGCAGCAAAGGGCAGGAATCATCACCTGCAGCAGCAGCAGCAGCAGCAACAGCAGCAGCAGCAGAAGCAGCAGCAACACCAGCAGAAGGAGAGGGAGGAATCTGTGTGTCTTTTGTGTTACTGTATAATAAATAAGAAAGAAAAATACATAAAATAAAAAGGATAAATAAACAAAATAAATAAATAAAAATAAATAAAAATAAATAAATAAATAAATAAATAAACTAATTAAAAAAAAAAAAATGGTCAGCCTACTGTATTACGTGAAGCGAGTGCAGCAACAGCTGCTGCTGCTGCAGCAGTTGTTGCTGCAGCTAGTCTTGCTGCCAACATGGTTGCGCCTGCGAGGAAAGCAGCAGCAGCAGCAGCAGCAGCAGCAGGAGAAGCAGGAGGAGCAGCAGGAGCAGCAGCAGCAGCATCCTCCGTCAGGAGCTCAACAGCTTTGTGAATCCGAGCAGCAGCATGAAGAGCAGCAGCCGGAGGAAGAGCAGCAGCTGGAGCAGCAGCAGCAGCAGCAGCAGGAGCAGCAGCAGCAGCAGCAGGAATGGTGGGAAGACGAAGAAGAAGATGAATTAGATGAAGTATCTTTGCTTCTTAAGGAAGGAACAAATCGTGTATCTTTTGCTGAGGATACAGCAGCAGCAGCAGCAGCAGCAGCAGAAATATATACAATTATATCCCCTATATATGTATATTTGCTGCAAGTGCTTCTTGTTCCTGCTGCTGCTGCTGCTCTTTGCTTCTTTAGATACCCTATTGCCTTGCTGCTGCAGCAGCAGCTGCTGCTTATTCAATTAATAGGTATAAGTATATATAAATCTATAACTATGGGTCCTGCTGCTGCTGCTGCTGTATATTCTATAGATGTTGCTGCAGCAGCAGCAACATTAGCAGCAACAGTAGTAGCAATGATTGCTGCTGCTACTGCTGTTATACATATTATACCTTATTTATTCCCTGTCCTCCCTACTAAACATAATAACCTTCCTCCTTCTTCTCCTCTTAATAGGCAACAATTAGGGATTGCTGATGCTGCTGCTGCTGCTGAATATCCACCATCTATTGATCTATTACAAGGTCCTTGTCTACTCAAATTAGCAGAAGCTGCTGCTGCTGCTGCTGCTGCTGCTGCTGCTGCTGAGAAAGCAGGAACTGGTGCAGCAACAACATCAACTGATGCAACAGATGCAGCAGCAAGCACAGCAGCAAATCCAGCAACAGCAGCAAAGGCACCAGCAGCAAAGGCACCAGCAGCAAAGGCAGCAGCAGCAGAGGTAGCAGCAGCAAAGACATCAGATAGAGCAACATCAAGCAGAATACCGGGAGCAGCAGCAAATGCAGCTGCAGCAAGAACAGCAGCAGCAAGAACAGCAGCAGCAAATGCAGCAGCAGATGCAGCAGCAAGCACATCAGTGATACCGACATCACGCAGAGCAGCAAAAGCAGCAGCACGCACAGCAGCAAGAACAGCAGCAGGTATAGCAGCAAGAGAAGCAGCAAAAGCCGCAGCAAACAGAGCAGGGAGAAAAACATCAAGCAGAGCAGCAAGAGCAGCAAGTGCAGCAGCAAGTGCAGCAGGAATAACAGCAGCAGATGCAGCAGCAATAGCAGCAGCAGTTGCAGAAGAGAATGCTGCAGCAGATGCAGCAGAGATGACAGCAGCAGAAGCGGCAACATTAACAGCAGCAGATGCAGCAGCAATAGCAGCAGCAGTTGCAGAAGAGGATGCAGCAGCAGATGCAGCAGCAGATGCAGCAGTAGCACGTGCAGTAGCAATAGCAGCAGCAGTTGCAGAAGAGACAGCAGCAGTAGAAGCAGCAGTAGATGCAGCAGCAACAGGTGCAGCAGCAGTTGCAGCAGCAGTTGCAGCAGCAGCAGTTGCAGCAGCAACAGGTGCAGCAGCACCAGGTGGAGCAGCAACAGATGCAGCAGCAACAGGTGCAGCAGCAGCAATAGTAGCAGCAGTTGCAGAAGTGAACGCAGCAGCAGATAAAGCAGCAAATGCAGCAGCAGGGTATGCAACAGCTGATGCAGCAGATGCAGATGCAGCAGCAGCAGATGCAGCAGCAGCAGATGCAGCAGTAGCAGATGCAGCAGTAGCAGATGCAGCAGCAGCATGTGTAGCAGCAGCACGTGCAGCAGCACTAAGAAGAGCAATAAGAGCAGCAGATGCAGCAGCAATGGAAGCAGCAGTAGCAGCAACAGCAGCAGACTACGAAGAAAAAAAGTCTATAAAACATAAACCCTTTTGTCTTGTTATTATAAACCCTACTAGTGGAGAAAAAAAGGCTATGAAACAATATACAGAAATTATCGCACCTGTAAACCCTAAACCCTAAACCCTAAACCCTAAACCCTAATTTCTAAACTATATAGACCACCCAACACAAACCCTTCTCCTTATCCCCTAACCCTTATTAAGGGTTTATATGATGTTTCTTCTTATTCGTCCCCTCCCCAGTATTATTAGAGTTTAGAACTTTTAGGGTTTAGAACATTTTAGGGTTTCGAATAATTTTAGGGTTTAGGGTTTAGGGTTTAGGGTTTAGGGTTTAGGGTTTATGCGTGTATTTTTTTTTTTTTGCAGGTATTGGAGATATTTGGAGGTTTTCATTTATTACCATTTATATTATTAGAGGATAATTCTTTTTTTTTATTTAATTTTCTTTCTTCTTTTAGCTATTTATTTACTCATTGTTTATTATTAGGGGGGGATGGTACATATAATACATTAACAAGAACAATAAGGAAAGCAGCAGCAACAGCAACAGAAGCAGCAGCAATTAATGCAGCAGCAGAAGCAGCAGCAATAGAAGCAGCAGAAGCAGCAGGAAAGAAATATTATCCATCTAATAAGAAAGCATCTAGTAATACAGTACCTTATGCATGCAAGTGCGAGAACAAGGAGACTTGCTGCGCTGCTGCTGCCTACCCAGCTGCTGCAATTGCTGCAGCAGCAGCACCACATGATTGCAGCAGCAGCAGCAGCAGCAGCACAAGGAGAGCAGAAGAAATATTAGGGTTTCTTAAGAAAACTCTCGCCTTATCTCCTGTACCTGTAGGCACCAGCAACACTTGGTGCTGTGAATTCTATTTCTCTCCTGCTGCTGTCTTATCTAACGCGGTGTATATACAGTCTACTAGGGATAAACTAGCACAGCTGCAGCAGCAAAAGGAAAAGTTGCTGCTGCTGCAGAAGAAGCAGGAGGAGGTACAGGAGCAGCAGAGGAGGGAGCAGCAAGAGAGGGGAGAAGAAGGGGAGGAAGGAGATGATGAGCGAAGGAGGAATGTCTTATCTGAGGGAGTTGCTCCTGCTGCAACAGCTGCTGCTGTTGCTGATGATGCAGCACCAACTGTTCGTGCTGCTGCTGTAGCTCCTGCTGCTGCTGTAGCTCCTGCTGCTTCTGCAGCTCCTGCTGCTGATGCAGCAGCAACTGCTCCTGCAGCAGCAGCTGCTGCTGCTGGTGAAGCAGCAAATGATGCAGCAGCAGCAGCTGGTGCAGCAGCTGGTATTGGTGAATCTGCAAATCCTGCTGTAGTTGCTGCAGGAGGCGAAGCAGATACTGCAGCAGCAGAAACAACAGAAGCAGCAGCAGAAGCAGACGCAGAAGCAGACGCAGAAGCAGACGCAGAAGCAGACGCAGAAGCAGCAGCAGAAGCAGCAGAAGCAGCAGAAGCAGCAGCAGCAGAAGCAGCAGAAACAGCAAAAAGAAAGAAAGATATATATTTAGCAGATATATTAACAGAGAATAGACAACCACCACCTGAACAAAGAAGATGGACTGAATGGATCACTTCTAATGTTAGTCTGCTGCTGCTGCTGCTGCTCTTGCTGCTCTTGCTGCTGTTGCTGTTGCTGCTGTTGTTGCTGTTGTTGTTGGTTTGTGTTGGTATTTTATTGGTCTTTGTAACGAGCTATGTTGTTGCACGGGGCAGCACTAATTGCTGCTGCTGTTGCTGCTGCTGCTGTTGCTGCTGTTGCTGCTGTTGCTGCTGTTGGGGATACGTTCTTGTATGTGTAGTGTGAATTTGCTGCTGCTGCTGCTGCTGCTGCTGCTGCGTGTATGTTGAAGATATGCATACGGCTATTGATGCTTCCCATCGCGTTACTAAGATATAGACGCCAGCAACAGAGGCAGCAGCAGGAGCAGCAGCGGCAGCAGCGGCGGCAGCAGCAGCAGCAGCAGCAGCAGCAGCGGTGGCAGTGGTGCTCTATCTTTAGACGAGCAAATAGAGCAGCAGCAGCAGCAGCAGCAGCAGAACGAGAAAAGCGGCAGCAGGAGCTGGAGCAGCAGCAGCAGCAGCAGAAGGAGGATGGTAAGCCAACATCAGAACAGATAATAGCTAGATGGGAAAGACAGCAGCAGAAGCAGCTGCAGCAGCGGGAGGAGAAGCTAGTTTGCTGCCTAAGTATGTGCAGAGCAGCAGCAGCAGCAGAGTGTCGTTGTTTCTTTGAGGCAGCAGCAGCAGTAGCACCAGCAGGTCGTGCTGCACCTCTTGCTGCAGCAGCATATGCTGCATTAGCATTGCAGCAAGAGTTGCTGTTCCCTGCAGCAGAACAAAGAGCAGAAGAAGCAAAACAGCAGCAGCAGGAGGAGCAGCAGCAGAAGGAAGCAGAAGAGAGAAGGAAGCAGCAAATATTAATGTTAGAGGAGGAGGAAGAGGA